ATGTATATATAATAATATGTATATATTATAAAATGTATATATGTATAATATATATATATATATATATATATATATATATATATATATATATATATATATATATATATATATATATATATATATATATACATATATATATTTTTCAATCTTCTTTTTGTATTTTTATTTAAATTGTTTATAAACACCCTTTTTTTTATTTAACAAAGTTTTCTTGTTAAATAAATTAAAATTAAAAACATACGAATCATTTTACCAAATGCATTGTTCATATCAAATAGCAATACGTTTTAATACTATCTTTTATTCATTCATTTTTTTTATGAAAACGGGAAAAAGAAGGGAAAAACAATCACTCGAGCATGCGTAGTATAAATTTTAGTTTGTCCAAAGCAAAACAATACTCGCGCAATTATTTTTCCTTTCCCTTTCTCGTTGTAGAAAAAGAATGAATAAAAACTGAACTTAATTCTGAGAAAATTAATAATCAGTTGGTCATTTAAGAAACAGCCAGCCTCGTGTTAATTTTTGTTTTTTCTTTAAAGTAAAGTTAGTATCAAATTATTACGTAAATCAATTGTTTAAAAGTTATGAAATGTTGTTAAAGTTACTTAAACTTTACGCTACTTATCACCATTTAGCGGCCAATATTACGCTACTTATAACCATTTAGCGGCCAATATTAAAATAAAGTTCATGCATTAACTTGAAAAAATAACTTTCTAGCTTCCTCCTAATTTGAAACCAACTCTCGTCTTTATGAAGTCAAACATTGATGAATTATGAGTCAAACTTGGCCATCCATTATAACTGTATTAAAAAGCAAACACCTTAGATCATTATAATGCTGTTTTTTATAATTTGTGTTACTTGATTTACAAAAGTTTTAGTTTCCTAGTTTCGTTCATACTTCCGAAAAACTTTACATATTATTGATTAAATAAGTTTCAAAATAATTTAAAAAAAAAAAAAAAAAAAACCCTTTAAGTTGCACTAAGCCAGGTTTGTAAACCAAATTTGTATCAAATAATTTGGTGTTATTTTAAAGTTAATCTAATTCTAAAACCTTTAGTATCAAAACTTTTATTCAGAACAGAAATTCGATAAGAAAAACATTTTTGACCATTAAATTACATATAATAACATATTAAATTAACAATAAAATTTTATAATATCAACATTTTCCAGGATACAATCTAACTCTTTTAATTATAAAATTATAAATTTTAATTATAAAATTTGCGCAATGTTTTTTACTCCGCAATATTGTTTCCGCCAATTAAACATGTATTACACAGTTGTATAGATAAGAGAAATTGTACAAAATAGGAAATGCATATTATATTAAATCATTTTACGCTGCAGTACTGCTTTTTATACTTTGATGATTGTCGGATTAGTTGTCGGACAATTGAAGAGCTTTAAAATGACAAACGAAGAGTTTTTGAACTGATAGTTGAAGAACTGCTTAACTAAACAATCAAAGACATCGTGTAACTAAACAATTGTGTAATAAACTTAATTTTTCTATTGCAAATAATGACATTTTTCAAATTTTTATAGAAAACAGATTTCTATTTAAAAATAAAATTGTTTTTTTTTCAATTTTTTAAATAATATTTAATATTTAAAAAAAATATAAAAGATTATACAAAATTATATATATATATATATATATATATATATATATATATATATATATATATATATACACACACACACATTTATACGTGTATATATATATATATATATATATATATATATACACACACACATTTATACGTGAATATATATATATATATATATATATATATATATATATACACACACACATTTATACGTGTATATATATATATATATATATATATATATATATATATATATATATATATATATATATATATATATATATATATATATATATAGGGGAAAGCGGGGCAACATGGCGAACGTTTTGAAAGCCCTGAGTTATAGCAAAACTATCAGTCGTGAAGCAATAATACTTTCTGAGTATGCTTATGTTATTAAAATGATTCATTGCCTACATGAATTTTCCGTTTGCATATATAACAACTTGAAATGAATATTAAAATAAAAAGTTCATAAATTTGTCAGCTGGTCACGTGATCGGGGTAAGATGAATTATATTGCAATTTTTACCTCCAATTTTATAAAATTTTAAAAACTGCCGCTAACTCTAACTAAAGTAACAAAAAATAAACACAAATCGCAAAAAACTACTTCTAAAGAAGTTAAACTTGAAGGACACCATCCGTTATGAGAAACCGAAAGTGAAGAATTTTTTTTTAAGCTCAAAAAGTAAACTTTTGTGTATAAAATTGCGTTAATAATATTTCTAAAAGCCAATCGGTGTTTTAAAATACAAAATGAAAATACTGCTTCGTTTTTACTCAATTATAAAATTTTTTATTGAGTTGTTATTTGAAAACCCATCATGCCCCATTCGCCATGTTGCCCCGCTTCCCCCTATAGACATATACGGCAAATGTTTCAAGTTAATAAAAGAATTAATTGGATAAAAAATAAATAAATTGCTTGGATGCTTATAATTATTAGATTAAGTAATAGGTTTGATTTTAGGAAAATAAAATTTATCATTATTATTGTTATTTTTTTAATATTGTTAACTTGTGATAATAATGTTAACTTTTTTTCACAAAATTACAATAAAGTAAATCAGCAAACTTAAAATGTCAATCTGATCAAAAAAAATAGATAACATCCTTGTTAGCTTAAAAAACATTAGGAGAACCAAGCTAAATTATTCAAATCTGTGTTCGTTTTTATTTATAATATTTTAATTTGATTGAAAACTTTTAAAAGATTTTTCAAAACTTTTTTTTTTTTTAAAAAAAAAACATTAATTCAAACAATCCAGTGCTGACTGCACGAGTTTCGAAGTGGAGTACAATCATCATTCGAAGTGGGTACAATCATCAACTTCTAAAAAAAGTCTATATTTAAAATTTTCTTAAAATTAATGTCTGTTAGAAAATTAGTATTTTTGGGAAGTGTTTGTTGATTAAGGTTAAAAAGCTTTTTCCTACATTAGTGCTAACATTTTTGCTGAAAGGAGGGTTGAACCATATGATGTTTTGTTTACGGTTTTTGGTATGTGGTAAATTTAAATTTGGGTGATATGAAAGTTTGTGATTAGTACCGGATCTTAATAGTGCGTCATTGTACATAGGAGTAGATCTTCGGAAGATTTCTTCGCTTGACGAATTTGCAGACAATCTTCTCAATTGAATGCGTAAGCTGTTTTAAAATATTATTAACTCAATTGAATGCGTAAGCTGTTTTAAAATATTAGGCGGGTGGTTTGAATCAACATAAATATAGTTTATAGAATTCCCTGGCTTCGAATATGGTTGAAAAGTATTATCGTTGAGATTTAATGTGACTTCAAGATAATTTTTAATTTTCATGTTGCACTGTATTGATATAGTGAGTTCGATTTTTTTTAATATTTCAACAAAATGTTTTTTGACTTTTTCTCTTTAAGGACCACTCATTTTTTTAAAAACTGCTAAACCATCATCGCGGTACAATCCGAAATCATTTTTATCATAAAACTGTGCAATTTGAATCAAAATATAAATTCCCACAAGATCACAAACTTCAGCACCACCAAATGCTCCCATTGAAACATCGAATAAACCGCTTGATTTTTTAATCCAAACTTGATCATCGTTAAATAATAATGATTTTCTTGAATGATAGATCAATGTTTTATGGTTAAGTTTAGTTTATATTAGAAAGTATAACTTTACTAATTCTGCCGATTTCATTTTTGGCAGGGTTTAATAAACGAACAGTTGGATTATTTGTTTTCTTAATGATCTTTTAATTTTATAAAACAATTTGAAGGTGTATTAATATCGATTTTATTGAAAACGTCGAGATTTTTTAATATCCGTTTACCTTCTTTATTTATTTGGTTTTTTATTTTGTATTCGATTTTTTGTATGTTGAGGTGATAGCATTTGTAAGCAAATGGGTGTAACTTTCTTTAGATATATTATATAAATTGTATGTTTTATCGGAAAAAGTATATGTAAGTTTATTATTGCGTATGGTAGATATGTCATCTTTTAACTTGTCTTGGATATTATTGTATACTTTACGAAATTTAATGTTTTTTATAAGATCTATCAGATCGTTTTCAATTGTAGACATCAGAAATTTGTTTGGGATAACTTCATGTTTTTATGCCGTAATTGTTATAAAAAATATTTTCCTTACTTTTTTGATCTTTATTAAGAAAGAAGAAAGGTTTCAATCTCATTCTTTTAACTAGTTTTTATCATTTTATTCATTCTTTTAATTCGGTTTTATCGAGTAATTGTATTTTGTAGTTCTTTATTGATGGAATTGGAATATCCTTAATTGAATAATTCAAGTTAGTTTTTTTCATTGCGTATACGACTATATAGTGTATATATAAATATATATATATATATATATATATATATATATATATATATATATATATATATATATATATATATATATATATATATATACACTATATAGTCGTATACGCAATGAAAAAAACTAACTTGAATTATTGACAAACCTCCAAAAACCCGAATATTTTATTCTCCTCAAAAATAAGGGTACAATAAAACAATTTTTTTTTAATATTAAATAAGATTTAAAAAAAAAATAAAATTACAACTCCAAATTCTTTTCAACAATTTTTATTTGGTAGCAAAATTATAGTTTTAAGGCAGTGTTATCAGATATAAAATTATACCCAATTTTTATCTTATTATTCAAAATAATATCTAAAAAATAGTTTATAAATAAACTTTTTGAAATAACATTAACTATTTACTAAATAAATAATACTATTTTACAATAATACATTATATAAAATAATATTATTTATATAATTTATATTAATATAAATTATATAAATAATATTATTTTACTACTAAATTTTGAAATAATATTATATTATTTACTAAATATTATTTAGTATTAAAAAAAAAATGTGGCGACAACTTGAGTGTTTCACTTTTACTATAATATTTGGCTTTTTTTTATGTGATTGCGAAATGACAATGACATACATAAACTCTACTTTTACTGGCGATGCCAAAGTAGATAAATTTTTTCCTGACAACCTTTGTTACCGAACTTACAACGACGGCTTAAAAAATGTGTCATCTCAATTAAATAGTCTTTTGGTTTCAAACCCAGTCACCTGCTCTAGTAAGTAGTAAATTTTATAAAGTTTTAATTAATTTTTATAAATTAGTACTATAAATGTTTTTAGGTTTATTTTTTCTCTTTTTATATATTGGATTTTGTTTAATTTAGCAACGGCGAGAACGAATTCCTTAATAAAAGTAAGTATTTTCACTTATATAGTTGTTTAAAAGACTAGTGTTAGGTTAATTCCGAATTCATTTAAATTCCTTTTCAATTCTCAATTCAAACCTTTTTTATTCCTTTTTTTCCCGTCCGATTCTCAAAGAATTGTAAGAATCACAATTTTACTTTTTTTAATAAAGTAGAATATTTTCTAACTATTTTAAAAATCAACGGCAAACTGATTCAAACATACCTTTCCTAATTGATTGACAAGACTTAACAAAGAACCAATAGTATTGACTGTACTAAAATTAGAAGATTTTCATTCAATTCTGTAGCTTGACTAGTGATCACTTTCCGAAAGTAAAAGACGTAGTTGTTAGGTGAGTGCTTGAAAAATGCTTTGAAAGTGATCAGTATCTTATCTTTTTTTTATTATTATTCCTTTTATAATAATCATCATTATTATTACATCATTATTATTACCTTACATTATAAATGAAATAAATTCACATTTGTCTCTTTATGGTACTTTGCACCATAAGAAGACCACAATGCAGCTAAACTTGCTAAGTTTATTAAAAAACTGCTTGGGCGTTAGAGGCTACTTAAGAAACTCAAAATTATTGCAAAAGGTAGTACCAGATATATTTTTTACGATATGAAATTGAGACAGTTTTCAAAAGTTCCTTATCTAGGCCATACACTGCAGTTGTTTTTTAAAGACGACTGTCTTGACAACGAGACTCTTTCTTTGCTACATGCTAACCGCCACAATTTTGGAGTGTTTTAAACATTTTTTAAATTTCTTCAAATTTATGAGGAAATTTCAGGAGGAGAACACAATATAATTCAAGGTGAGCCAACTACCTAGCTCGCACTCATACGTTGAATCAACCTATGTATAACCATCGCAAATGGCTGTTTTTCTGATGAAAATCTAACGTTAATTATATACAACTAAAAACAACTTGCAAAACTATATTGGTTCAACTTAAGTAAAACAACACAAAAGTTGATGGTTTTTATAATCTAAACCCAGTGTTAATTCGATGTACGAGGTGTGTTCAAAAATTAAGGTGACTTTTCAAATTTCGCTAGCAACGTACTTTCGATTATCGATTTTTTTGTTTTGTCATGTTGGTACACTCTTCCCGAACATCTGTACCAAGTTTCAAGTGTAAATCATTTTTTGTTTGTTTCTGAGAGGCGTAAAGGGTACAAGTGTTTTGCGTGCTCGGCGATTTTTTACTATCGAAAAATATGAATCAAAGGATTTGCATCAAATTTTGTGTAAAAAATAAAATAAAGTGCTCCAAAACACTTGAAATGTTGACAGTGGCATACGGTGAAGCTGTTCTGAGTAAAAAAAAATGTTTACAAGTGGTACAAACTCTTTCAAGATGGCCGGGAAGATGCCAATGACGAGCCTCGCTCTGGACGCCCAACCATGTCAACAACTGATGAAAATGTTCAAGCAGTGAAGAAAATTGTTTTGGAAAATTGTCGAATCACTATCAGAGAAGTTGCTGATAATGTTGGTATTTCGCTTGGCTCGTGCCATGAAATTTTTTCTAACGTTTTGGGCATGAGATGTGTGTCAGCAAAGTTTGTTCCGAAATTGCTCAATTTTGAACAAATGAACCGTCGCATGAGCATCGCTCAAGAGCTGTTGAATGATGTCAACGACGACCCAGATTTACTCAAAAGGGTCATAACTGGTGACAAATCTTGGGTATATGGTTATGATATCGAAACCAAAGCCTATCGTCCTAATGGAAGAGCCCAGTTGAGGCAAGACCGAAAAAAGCACGCCAAGTTCGATCAAATGTCAAAGTTTTGCTCACTGTTTTCTTCAATTACCATGGCGTGGTGCATCAGGAGTTCTTACCATATGGTTGTAACAGTAACAGTATTATCTTGAATTTATGCATCGTTTGCGAGAAGCAATACGAAGAAAACGTCCAGAATTGTGGAAAAACAATTCATGGCTTTTGCATCACAATAATGTCCCTGCTCACTCATCTTTGCTTGTGAGAGATTTTTTGGCTAAAAACAACACTACAATCATGCCTCAGCCACCATACTTACCGGATTTGGCCCCATGTGATTTTTTTTTGTTGTTGTTTTGTTTTTCGCAAATCTCCAAAATCTCCATTTCCAAACTTTTGACCAATCGTAAACATTTGACAATCGTAAACATTTGACAATCGTAAACATTAGACCAATCGTAAACATTTGACAATCGTAAACATTAGACAATCGTAAAAATTTGACAATCGTAAACATTTGACCAATCGTAAACATTTGACCAGTCGTAAACATTCTTAAAGGTTTCGTAATAAACTTTTATTTATTTTAATTAATTAAGAATTGACCATTGCTTTTCCGCTTAAGTTTTTATAACATATTATGCGCTTATTTGCTTCTGACAGCTTGAGAACATCCTAAATTATAATTAAAGGAGTTGAGGTTGATGGTATATAATTTGAAGAAACTGAAACTTTCATTACATTATAAAATTCTGATAAAAGTAGAGTTTTTGCTTTATAACTGAAATATTCAGAATAGTTAATAACTATTTTCATCTATCCCAATTTAGTCTAAACTTAAAATTGGTTTAGGCTAAAAGTCCTCGTTGGCAAACATTTGCCGACTCTTCCTAGGTCCCCACCCTTTTTGGGTCGCCTCTGATAACAATCATTTTTTATTTACTCACAAAATTTTAAGTTTTATTGAAAAAAATTTTATTTGAGTAATTTTTGTTTTTTAATTATTCTTATTTTATGTATTATTAATTTGTTGCTTTTTTGAAGGTGCATGTTTTATTCCTAATTGATTTTGTTAGTTATTATTGTAATCTTAGTCAATTTAAATTAGTAATTACTTCACTGCCGTACGACCCAATTGAAGATTGGGTCTTGCGGTCGTGACGCAATGGTTAGAGCGCTTGCTTAATAAGTAGGAGATCCAGGTTCGAAACGAGCTCTGGATTTATTTTTGCGTCACGGTAAGGAAGGTGGCTTGAACTTCCTGGTTAAATGCTCTTTTGCAGCGCTTCTGTGGTGCTCCGTGACAAAACTGTTAGGTCTTCTTGGGGCACCTAAATAACAAAAAAAAAAAAAAAAAAATTAAGTTAGAGTGATAATCGCCCATTTCAAGGCTGGAAAAAAATGAATAGTACTTCTCATTATTTTTTTATCTTCGTCTTTGCTTTTGAAATAAAAATATTTTCTATGAAAATTTAAAAACCCTTTAAACGTGTTAGTTTACGATTAACAATGAATCAGAACTGTTTGTCGAGCATGGGTTTGTTGGCAATCACAAACAAATTTGCAATGTAAATCAAAATATCCGACTTTACCATGAGTCTAAAATTTCTCTCAAAATCCAGTGTTAACAGTGTTTGTTAGTTTGGTTGGTTCATCAAAGTATAAAACAGATGGAAGTTCACTATTTCTTGCCTAAAATTAAATAAATGCAAAGATCATTTCAATATATCTATAGAACATTTAAAATATGCCCAGTATGATTCACTAACGTAAAGGATAAGAAAATTCTTTCACTTTATCTCAATTAATAACGGATGGACCCCGATGTCTATGTCAACTTCAACTATTATACCGCTGGTCAAAAAAATTACTTACCGACCCAAATAACTACCGAGGTATCATTATTATTCCAACATTTACAAAACTTTTAGAATAGCATATCCTACTCATCAGTCCTGAGATAAAAGAAACAAATCACTTTTGGGATATGTTTCTTTTATCATCCAATTTGGTTTTAATAACAAAAGTTCGACCCTGCATGCTGAATTTGTTATAATTGATAGAATTTTGCATTACAACAACAACACTTCGTCTATTTATTTATGCTCGCTAGATGCTGAAAAAACTTTTGACAACTGCAACTGGAACATTCTCTTTGATAAACTTTACTTTGATAAAAACTTACCTCTCCAAATAGTTAACACTGTATCTTCTTTATACCGCAATAGTAGTGCAACTATCTTTTACCTAGGTTCCGAATCAGTTTCATTTGTTCTTAAACAAAGAATGAGACAAGGATTGATTCTGTCTCCCTACCTGTTTAACATATTCATCGAAAAGCTACTCGAAACTATAAAAAATGAAAACGTTGTCGGTACTTCTACACATGGAAACTTTACAGCTGTTGTTGTTTATGCTGACGACATCATTCATCTTAGCTCTACTCTATCTGGTCTTGAAAGGCTGATTGCAACATGTGATATTTACAATAACTTTAACAGCATAAAGCTCAATGCTGTCAAAACGGAACTGTTGCTTTCCGGAAAAAGACAATTAACTAATTGCAAGATAACCCTAGACTGCCATCAAATAATACGAAACGAAAAACTTAGTCATCTTGGCTTCATTTGGGATACACAAAAATACCACAAATCCGGCAAAAGTAGCTCTAAATACTGTTTACAAATTTTTTTAACTTTCATCTTTTATTACTTCAATTGCTTATGACGTTTTAAAACAATATCATTGGATAATTTTTGACAAAATTGAAATGTGATTGGTTAACTTTAAACTATGATCGAAAAATCATTAAAAATTATGTTCCTACAACAACTATTACGTGAAAATAAAAAAATTTAACTTCCTTTCCCTCCAGCTATCCTAGAAAAATTTAACCTCCTTTCCCTCCAGCTCCCTCCAGCTAACTCCTTGGTTTTAACCTAAAACTTTGATATTTATACCTAGTATCGAGGTATTCAAAAAGCGATTACTTAACGTAGATCATGATTTTTGTTGTGATTACTACTTGATTGTGATTACTACTTGTTGTAATTACAAGTTGAGAGTAATCCATTTTGATTACAGGTTACAAAGGATACAAAATATATTTCAAAATTTTCTTTTTTTAACGCAAAAGCGTTATTTTGACTTGTCGCTGGAATAATTATACAACAAAGACTGTACTACGATTTTGAACACTTTTCGGCTTCGTTCTCTCTTTATTCTATTTTACCTCCTTAATTAAATAAAGAAATAAATAAAAATTAAAAAAAAAAAAAAAAAAAAAATACAGAATGAAAAAAATTAAATATTACTCAATGCTATTGAATTATACTATGTGTTACACATATAAATTTATTTTTAACTGGAATGAATGTTAAACTTTTAATAAAATTTAATATTTAATTAATAATTTAATAAAATTATTACTAATCATTTAAACGATTCATAACAAGCATTAAAAAATTGATATAAATTTTAAAACCGCCAGATTAAATGCAAAAAACCGCGAGATTAAATGAAAAAAACCACCAGATTAAATGCTTGTAACACTCTATTTATTTAATATGAAATTAAGAAAAAGTTGTTATTTGCCGTTTCGTTGTCATCATTTTTAATCTTTATATTTGATTGTTATCGGTGAACCGTCATATGCGATATTTTTAAATTATTATGAACGTACCTATTTGGGTCAACCTTTAAAGAATAAGCGTTTAGGTACAAAATCTTGATGTCGTTTTCTCTTTGTTTACGAAACAAAAGGTTACAAGAGTAGCCCCGAAGCATTTTATGCAGTTGAACTTCCATCTGTTTTATACTTCCGTTGGTTGGTTGGAGTTTAAAAAGGTGGAGTAATAAGTTTTGATTATTTTATTTTGATTAAATTTTTTAGAGAAAAAGAAGAGCAATTGTAAAAGAACTTTTAAAAGAATGTAAGTTAGATAATCGTTTGTTTTTACTATTCTTCTCCAAAAAATAAATACTTGACTTGAATTTTTTAACAAACATAACTATGTAACTAAATTTAAATTTTTTGCCGTAACATGTATGTTATAGTAGCCAATAAACCAAAAAGAAGATCAAGACGTGATGGGTCATATAGCATTCCATCTAATCTACCTAATGGTTCAACAGTTGCTTATTGCAGCAATCCTTCTTGTTGTACTAATAAAAGGACTTTAAAATCGCCTTCTTTTATGTACTATAATCTTTGCAGGGAATGTGTCCATCTAATAACTCTTCCAGCAGGGTAAACTTTTTTTTTTTAATCTTTTTTTATAATATATATATATATATATATATATATATATATATATATATATATATATATATATATATATATATATATATTATGATTTTGAATTTGTTTATTCATAAATCTAAACTTAAAGAGCAAAACCATCATATAAAAATAATTTTAGTAAACTTATATGAAATGGTGCAGCACCAGGCACAACAATGATGACGTAATTCTCTAGCTTTAAAAGCGCGTCAAATTGACTTTTAAAAATGTTAGTTGAATTTGCATTAACTAAGTTCACTGGCAGTCTATCCCAATTGTTAACAACTCAATAAGTAAAAAAATCGTCCCGTTCTTAGCAGGTTTTCACAATTTGCCGTGTTAGTCGTTGATTATGTCCACGCAGTTTATATTATATATATATATATATATATATATATATATATATATATATATATATATATATATATATATATATATATATATATATATATATATATATATATATATATATATATATATATATATATATATATATATATATATATATATATATAACATATATATAACATATATATATATATATATATATATATATATATATATATATATATATATATATATATATATATATATATATATATATATATATACATACGTTTTAGGTCGTCAATCTTTTGCCAACATCGTTTCATCAGTAGTTATTGAACTAATAAAAATAAGGTCGGCAATAAATTACTGATCTTTTTATTTCAAATTCTGAGGGCTGTAAATACTGTATGCTAAAGTATTTATTATATATTAAAAATTGATGTTTATTTCGTTTACTCATATAACGCGTTTTTAAACAGTTTTTAATCATAAAAGCTTCTCATCCAGTTTTTTTTTTTTTTTTTTAATTATCTTCGCTTCCAACAAGGTTGCAAGCAATCACTAATTAGTGTTGGAAGTTACTGGAAGAGAAAAGATGAAGATTGTAGAGCAAGATAACGATTGACAGACGACTTAAAATATTGCAAATTATATGAATCAGGAAAGCAAGATGAAGGAAGCAAATTCCAAAGAACTGATGTTCGAGGAAAAAAACTAGACGAATAAGAGTTTTTGGAGCACTTAGGAATAGTAACAGAAAAAGGATGAGACTTAATTGAATGACTAGTAACACGAGAATGAATTTTAGTAGATGGCACAAGAGACGCTAGCTCTTTAGAGCAGTGTCCATTATAGTATTTGTAGAAAAGAGAAAGAGAAGCAACATTACGACGATGTGACAGAGGTTGAAGGTTGGCTGGAAGAGCAGGTCCAACTATGTTTACAATGCGTTTTTGCACCTTGTCTAAAAGAGAAAGGGCATCATTAGAAGATCCGCCCCAGATATGGCAACAGTATTCCATACAAGGCCGGATTTGAGATTTATAGAGATAGAGAATAGAATCCAGAGTAAGAAAGTGACGAGCTCAATAAAGAGAAGCAACTTTAGCAGATGCTAATTTTGTAACGCATTTGATATAAGGTTTCCAAGAAAGATCAGAAGTAAGAGTTAATCCTAGAAGATGAAGGGTAGGAGACTCATCGAGTACATTACTGTTCATAAATATAGGAAGGTCTAAACTATTGTGATAACGATTGGCCAAAAAAAATTGAGTTTTATCTGAATTAAAGTTCACCAGCCACTGCGAGCCCTATGCTGTAGCAGAAGTGAGATCCTTTTCGAGCTCAGATGCCCCCTGCAAGCAATCAGAGGGAGTTGGCTTCTTATCGTGACAAGAATAAATGGTAGTATCATCAGCGAACAATGCCACCTTAGATGTAAGAATATCTGGAAGATCGTTAATAAATTAAAAAGAGTATAGGGCCAAGGGTTGAACCTTGGGGAACCCCTGAGGTTACAGAATAAGAAGAAGAGTGCTGTCCATCAAGGACAACTTTTATACTACGATTGAAAAGGAAAGATTCAATAATCTTAAAGATGTTTCCAGATACACCATAAGAAAAAAGCTTATGGAGGAGACCAGCATGCCAAACTTTATCAAACGCTTTAGAAATGTCAAGAGCAATAGCCTTAACCTCTCCACCTTTATCTAATGTGCGATAAAACCTATCGGTTATTACTGATAGCAAATCAGCCGTAGAACGAGAAGATCGAAATCCATACTGATGATCAGAAAGTAGGTTATGAGATTCGAGATGAGAGATTAAGTGTTTGTTAATTAAAGATTCAAAAACCTTGCTTATGATAGGAAGAAGACTAATGGGACGGTAGTTAGATGAGTCAGATCGCTCTCCAGAATTTTTAAAAATAGGGATAACAGATGCTGCTTTCCAGCAGGCTGGAAAACAAGACTCTGATAAGCACTTGTTGAATAGTTTTGAAAAGATAGACGACAGCTCAGGAGAACACTTCTGCAAGACTATAACAGGTATGTTGTCAGGGCCGCAAGCTGTAGAAGAGTCTAAGCGGGAAATCACTTTAGATTTAGAAGCTGGAGTGATACGAATGTCAAGCAATGGATCAACCTGTTTGACGGGTATATCAGGTAAAACGCAACTAGTGGCATCAGGAGATGATATTGATGAAAAGTTCTTGGCAAACAATTCAGCTTTGTCTTTAGGTGAGGTGAGAAAGTCTGAACTGTACAAAAGAGGTGGAATTACAGACTTGTCCTTATTATTGATACTATTAAAGATTCTCCAGAAGTCACCGGAGCCTAATTTTTGTGATGAAATACGAGATTTCATGATCTGAGAATAGCGGGTTTTGGCGTTAGACAAAACCTCTTTACAATGGTTCCTAGCAGTAATAAAGAGACGCCTGTTTTCTGGAGAATTGTTTTGCTGATAGATATGGAAGTAATGGTTTCGATTGGCAATTGCAGCAGCACAATGTGAGGAAAACCATGGAGAAGAGTGAGGCTTGACCTGGAATCTTCGAGAGGGAATAAAGGATTCCATGCCAGCCTGAATCCACGAAGTTATGTAAGAAGCACATTTGTCAACAGGGAGACGAAAGATTTCTACCCAGGGGCCATTACGAAGAAAGTCACGAAAAGAGTCCCAGTCAGCTTTAAGGCAGTTGTAAGATGTGCGATGATAGGGGGATTCTAATGGTAAAGAAAAATGAGATAATAGTTTTAGAGAGACCAAACCATGATTAGAAGCACCTAAGGGTGAGTTTGAAGAAACTGAACACTGACTAGGATCACAAACAAGACATAAGTCGAGTAGAGAAGGTAAATGATTCGGGTTGTCTGGAAAGCGAGTTGGAAAGTTGACTATTTGAGTTAGGGATTAAGAAAGGCAAAAGTTAAGGGCCTTAATGTCTGCGGAGTCACTGACACTAGAGCCAAGCCATTCAGTGTGATGAACATTTAAGTCACCAACAACAACAATATTGGCTGATGGATAAAGAATGAGGGCTTGGTCAATATTATCAGAAATAACATCAAGAAGAGTGCAGTCTTGGGATGAGGGAGAGCGATATAGAACAAAGAGAAAGGTGATAGAGTGAAGTGGTGCTAAACGAAAGCACATAAAAGAGTAGTCTGTGGATTCAAACCTAGTTTTCCGACAAATGAATTCTTACAAATGTAAATGCCCAGGCCAAGCATGTGACTATTGGAGTCTTTACGAATTAAAGGAAGATAACCGTCAACACTAAGATCACAAGATAAGACAGCTGAACTCAAATTAATCTCACAAAGAGCAAGCAGGTCTGGTGAACTTTGCAAGAGATAAGACTCAACAGAAGAAAAGTTACTTCGAAGACCACGAATATTGGTGAATGATAGGTTTAGCGAACTTGGTGATGACTGTGGTTTTTTGTGTTTTATAGTTTTTGTTACTTTATTTATTTTTAAATTTGTTAAAAAACTTGACTCGAAACATTGATAGTACTCAGTACACTGTTCTATAGCTCAAGCAATTGCCTCATTTTCACTAATAAACCCTAAGCCGTAACAAAGGGTCCAATGTGGCCTTGGCAATGCACACCAAAAGTACAAACAGGGACACCATCCATGCGCAACATGGCACTGTTAGCACTCTGATATTTTTTAGCTGTTGATAGAATCAGCCTCTCTGAGAGCTACCACAGAGTTCGGGAAACCTGGCTACCAGCCGGCCTCAGAACCATAAAACTGAGTTTTAGAGCTGTACCCTCATTTGGAGATAATAGAATGAGTTGCCTAGTCATAAAAACAGAGACACAAGCAAAGCCCATGAATCGAGTCAAGAAGATCCAGCGTTCAACATCCTAAACTGGAAACAATGTATTAAAAATACATCTGCGCCAGCCTAATTGATGACGAAGGGGTGCGAGGCTGGTCAACAGATAGAATCTGTTTACCCCTTAAGTCTTTGCCTAGGAGGCCTTCTACAAGACAGCAGCCGGATGCACGTAACTTCTGCCCAAGATGAGTATTTTTATTAAGACACCATCTCTAGCCTAATATCAACCAAGAACCCCAAGGCAGGGGGTGTTTTATGTCGGAGTTTGCATCTCCTAGCCTTTGCCTAACAAGGCATATCCTACAAGGCAGCAGGACATGAAGCAGATTGTACTTAATTTCATCATTCATTCATTCTGAGTAAATATTAAGATATTGACTAAGATATCAACGATTTTATTTTTTTTATTTTTATTTTTTTATTGTTTTTTTATTTTTTTGTTGTTTCCATTTTTAAGTGATTTCAAGTTTTCTTAATGTTCTTAATATTTAGTATGAAGGTGAAGTTATCAATAACCATTACTATTTCACGATTATCTAATGTAAATTTTCTGTTGTGTTTTCTTAACTACTCTTCAAATAGCTTGGAACCCGTTCAGTTTATTTACTTGTGCATAATAATAGGGTGGAGTGCTTTTAATTCTCTTAATTAAATTGTTTACTTGATTTCCTAATTTAAAAAATTGGCATTTGATGATGCTTAAAGCAAAACCCATTTATAGTTCTTGCTTTGAGCATTCATTTACAACCAACAAGTTTTTTCATTATTTTAGCATTTTTTAG